ATATATAAAAAAAAGGCAGAAAGTCTTAGTGATTACAGTATGTGGCAGGAGAGAGCAGGGGAGCACAAGGGCTGACCAGGTGTTGCGTAAAGGCCAAAAGTTTGCTAGATGACATTTGCCCAGAGAAGCATCTTTCATGCAACAGAAAAAGGAGAGGAAAAAGAAGAATTCTGCTCCCTCTCGCCCCATCAAAACAGCCCAAAAAGTAGCAGAACGAATAAACAGGTATCCAACAATTACTCCTAATTTGACTTTAGGGAAAAATGTATGAATCTAGGCCTGAGAACTGGCTTAGTTTGAGCATCAGTAGTGGGGGCAGCAGCTAGGAGCCAAGTACCGTTGCATTCCACTCACCCTTCACAGGGGCCAGGTTCTGACATTGCAAAAGTATAGAAAGGCATGGAGGTGAGGAAGCTCTTCCTTGCATCTGTAGGTTTTTTTTTAAACCTCGTATTATGTTAAGCACAATACTTGTTGTACCATAATTACTTTGTAAGTATGGGCAAGAAAGGAGGGGGAGGGTGGGTCATCAGGAGTACTTTTCCTACCCTGGGATATGAATACATGACTCTCACTTGTGTAAGTACAGGTTGCGTAGATGTATTTGTGGGTGAAATTTGGCCTGAGGTCCTTTTGAAGAGGAATCTTGCGACACTGAGCAATCGTGTGTCTTCAATTAGGAGTTCTTACTCTTGCTGGGTGGAGGTATGCAGCATGGGTGACTTGTGGTGAGTAAAGAGTTATGCCTAAGGCCTGGGCATCTGGGGCATACTCTGGTCTAGATACTGCCATCCTTACTTATACTAAGGTACTCCTTACTCACCCTTTGGACTTCGGCAGGGTACTCACTGAATCTGACTCAAAAATCATTAAAACCATCAGAATTTAGTCCTGTGATAGAAAAGAAATTTCAAGTCTTAATGCTGCACTTGCTGGGATGTTGTGTGATTAAATCAGAGCCCTTCCATCTGTAGCTGTGGTCTTTTCAGCTTAATATTTGTATAAGCTTGTAGAGCCATTTGAGCATATAAGTTGTTCCACAGATTTCAATGCTGTAGTCTTCATTCCTTGTGTCTGGCCATGGACAGTGAAGTTGAGAGAAGCTGCCTGCTATTTTAAAGCCATTGCTACAGAAAGCATGCAGTGACATCCAAGGTGCTGCTCCGCATCAGCCAAAGCTGGTTCTCGTGATGGCACAGTATGCCTGGTCAGGGGCCTGATCCAGCTGAAAAGGCTTGATTTTTCTTGGGAAGGGTAGTTTTCAGCCAGAGTGATTTACCACCCAGTTCCATGAGCACTGGTGCCAGTATAAAAGATGGGGGTGGGGAATGAGAGGATGGCAACCATGGTTTGTGTCAACTAGAACCTGACTGAAGCTTGGCTTAGCTATGCAACCACATCATAATTTAAACTAAACTTGGGTGTAACAGAACTGTTAGTCTACACTTGCTGTACACACCACCTCCAGAAGATATGAAATAAGTATTTTGTCGCGTTTAGTGAGAGTTTAAATTGACTTAAGAGGCAGCAGGCTTAAACTGAGATTCTTCAATGTGAAAACTAAAAATTTCTAAGGATGCTTAAATAAGCTGATCATTTCTCACTGAATTTCTGGCAAGAACTACCTACATGTGGGCTTGAAGAATTCCATTTGTAGCATGCAGAAAAGGACTCCACACAAAGCTTCTAAATCTTTCCTTTCCCTTTTTTTTTGTATTAGTTATGAAATACTTGGTTTAACTGTTACGAATGGACATAATCCTGCTGAGGTCACCATGACAACATGAAGTTGCCATCTAAGATTCGCACTTGCTCAGTGGCCAAAAGCTAAATCTTTGGCAGCTTGCGATTAAACAAATCTGACACCCAGCATCGGGGATGTCCGTGTATAATGTAAGAGGCCCTGCTTAGGCTTTTCTCGCTTGACTCGAGACAGGAGTTGGGTAATTCCCCTTTATTTGCAGGTGACGTTCACCCTCATTTGTTCCATCCAGATACAGCTTCACTTCTCTCTAAGCCTCCAGAAAGACTCAATCTACTATGAAAGCAGAACTGGCTCCTTTGAAATACACCTTTCTAACCCCCAACTGAAACATTTTCCATTACAGTGTTGTTAGGGCAGCGTTGCCCACAGGTGTCATTTAACAGACATCTTCCTTTCTCCTGGAGATTGCAGTTATCAACCCCAAAGCAGCAGATGTGCTGCCAATGCCTTGAGCAGACCTGACTCTCCTTATTCTTCAGCATCGCACCTACCCAGCTTTGGAGCAAAACCTGCTTGGCACCAGCACAGCAGGAGGACAGAGAAGGGGGAGGCCTGTTCGTTTCTCAGGAAATAAATATAATTTCCAGCTAATTTGCTTTTGTGGCTATGAGGTGACAAAAGAGCAAATCCCTTGATTCTGCAGCTGCTTGGCTGGCATTCTCACCCTTTATACGAGTGCCTTTGTAAAAAGGGAAGATTTGTTGGTGCTCCCTTGTTTACACATTTAATAGCTCACAATTAAGGCAAAATGGACTTGAAAAGCCTCGTTAATGAAGAGCCAAGTTCTACCAGCAACAAGAAACTCGAAGATGAAATTTTCACCAAGACCCCTTTATGCTCTTCCAGGAGGAAAGTATGTTTAAACATGGGTTAAAGTCTCACTACACTTCTGGAGTACTGTAAACACCCTCTTTAAGGACCCTTTTTGCTACCAGAGTGCTCTTAGGCTGAACAAGAGTCAAAGCTCATTGTTTCCAGCTTCTGGCATTCCTTACCTTGGATTTTCAAAATCTGTCAAGAGGGAAGAGTTCTCCCCCCCTCGACCATCCGTGTGTGTCCCCCCCCCTCCGCCCCCCTGAATTTTCATTTTACAAAACACTTATCAGTTTTCCATTCCAGGTCTTAAAATTAACTATATTCCACTCACCATTATTGAGCGCTTTTAATAGTATAGAAACAGGGCACTTAAGGGTATAGAAGCACTCCACATCTGAATCTTGCGATATGTAAGAGCTAGGTATCCAGGTTCAAAACATGCAAGAAGCAGGATCATCCTTTATTTGTCTTTAGCTGCCAATTAGCAATGTCATTAATCCGCTGCCTAGAAGAAGTTCATGATTAGAACAGACGGTGTCACTGACCATTGACAAGACAATATGCAGAAGGTTGTGCTGTAGCTGCCTGTCACTGTGCTGTGGTAGTTAGAGCTAGGTCTCATTTTCCAGAGGGAAGTAACAATTTCTTAATTTCTTTGCATTCTGGGGTAAAGACAGACACATTATCCAGGCTTTGAATATTGTATATATTGTGTTCTGGACAGGGAATCTTTAGCAGACCCCAGGAGAGCTAATGCACCACCTGCCCCCTGTTGTCAGACAAGTTCGGTTAGAGAACATGTTGTGTCCGCATTGGCTACAAATGTCCTTCTCTGTGTTCACCCACAGAGCCACCCCAAGGCTCTTCGGGGGCGGCAGATTTGAATTTTGCCTTCTCAAGGATGAGTGTCTGAATCTGGGCCAAAGCTTCATTTCCTGCTGGTGAGAGAAGAGGGATGGGGAAAGGGGCGCAGCAGGACTTGAGGGGTCAGGCTTGCTTTTTCTGCTGCTCCGGGGGCAGCAGGAAGAGGCTGGTGGTGCATGGCTGCTGCCAGGAAAGGCTAACCTCTAGCTGGAGACCGCAAACCCTTGGTGACAGTGGCCAGCCTGGTTTTCCAAGGCCACAGACAAAGTAAGCAATGACCTAGGACAGCAGACAGTGGAGGAGACAGAGGGGCCCAGGCCTGCTGCTTGCTCTCTGGTGTGTTGGACAGAAGGATTTCTGTTCTGCAGTGGGAATTGCACTCTAGGTTGCTTGCTTAAGAAAAAGATGGCCAGTGCTTTAATTCACATCCCACCTGGGGATCAAATCTCTCAGCAAGACAGGAGTGGTTTTTCTCCCCAGATCTCACTTTTGAGGGAAGCAAGTTGCCATGACAGAGAATTAAATACTAGGAGTATTTTTCTTAGGTGGATCTTCCAACTTCTGGTTTGTAGCTACTGTAATTTGTGAGTGAAGGAAATATTTTGGTACTAAAAACTTGCCAAAATGCTGTATTAATTGCAGTTTAATTAGCACTTATGAGACATTAACAATAATTGTATTCAATTTGACCACTCAGGATAAAGTGTGATTCAGGATCAGCTGGTTGGTGTGCTGAAACAAAACAAAAAAAAACCCAAAACAAACAAACAAACAAAACCCCCCAAAAAACAAAAAAAAAAACAAAACCACTGCTGTGTGGTCTGGTGAATATGTGCCATTAGCTTTGTGTTCATAGGTAGAAGCTTTTCTGGCTGCTTAACTTTTTTTTTTTTTCCCCACAAGGTGTTGTGCTGGACTGGGAGAAAGTGGAAGGAACTTGTATTCACTGGAAGGAAATGGTTTGACTTCAAGCTCATGCTCTTGCAGTGAACTGGATTACAGTTTATCCCTGCTCTCTCTTTTACTATGATTTTTAGGAAGAGTGCCAAAAACTTTAAAAATTTTTTCCATTTACTTATTTATGCTTTGCTTTGCCAAGGAATGAGAAAGCCTGGCACTTTTAGCAAGTGTGTGAGCAAGAAAGGCAAGGGAACCTAGGGTGAAATTTGACATGGAGACTTGTATGCAGTGCAGGATAGCCATAAACATCCTTTGAGTATTTCTTTTTTCTTTGAAGCAGAGTTCATTATGCTCTCTGAGTTTGTGGCTGTAGGTGAAAACAAAGACAGTGATTGTAGTTTCAAAGGCTGGCTGAGAACAGAGAAAACAAACTATATGCGATTTAAAGCACATGTTTGTATGCAGGCTACCACACATGCCTAATGTATACACCAGTATGATGTAAGGCAGCAGAGGTGACCTGATTAGCAAAGCCCTCACAATGAGCTGAGGAGATCCCTGCTGCACCAGTGCACCCCTCCTTGGAGACCTGTGACTACTCCTAGCTGAAGGAAACCTTCCGGCAGCAACAAGAGCTAGCAGAGAGGTTCTGAAAATGGCAATGGCAGTGCTCTGTGTGTGTGTGAAGGTGCGGGAAGTAAGAAGAGTAAACAGCCTGCACAGCTTTGCAGAATGGCTGGCATATTGTGAAAGATGCAACATGAATTGCTTGGGCTTTGTGAGTTACGTTTGCAGGGGTTGTGGAGCAATGTGTGGGGAGGTTGCATTTCACGAACAGCTCGCTCTGTTTTGTTGTGCTATTTATCCTGTTGG